ACATTGTTGCATCACTACGACCTTCAACCACTTCATTTTCTGGACCAGCACCGCTCACTTCACAGGTAGGTGGACCTTCTGTATGAATAAAATAATTTCACATTTGTTGAGTAAAGTGTAAAGAAAGTGTCTTGTTTTGCACCTAATGTCATACAGGGACGGCACATTAAAAGGGAGCAGAGGTCTGGCTTTTGACATTCTGTACTTGAAATTTGAGATCTATGAATGAATTTTGTCGATAAATACAACTTGTATGTGCTGCGAAATGCCCTAAAAATCGGGTATAAAACGGACTGCGATTCAGACGACAAACGTTTTTTTTGCCTGGCATTTTTTTGCCTCTAGAGAACCAGTCAATGATGTTATCAGTGAACACTGATAATTAAACCCATTCATTCTAGTACGTCAACCTCATAGAAGTGTTACTATGAATGACCTTGTTAACTGACAATACGACTATTTAAAGGTATGTTTTGGAGCAATGGATTGGCGAACAGGCAGAAAAGCAGAGAAAGCTGAGGAAGAACTCCTGTGTCTGTGCGAGTATCAGAAACACATTTTTTAACGGGGCAAATTCAAGCCTTTTCTGTATATACATGGCTGAAATAAAAAATAACATTAAATGAGTGAATTATGAAATTTTTTATCAGAAAATAATTATAGATTTTATATTAGATGTACTAAGCATGAGGCAACTACAGGTAGAAAAGTTTTCCATTAAAAATTAAATCTACATGTCCAAACATTTCAAAAACTTTGTTTTAATGAAAACTTAAGTATACATGTGGGTACGTGTTATTATTTATTTATTTTGAAAACTCTATTTTTAACTGAGGGAATTAAACTAAGTTACATATTCATGTTTGTTTATTTTCAACCTTAGAAATGACTACATTTCAACTGTACGTTTAGTTGTACTTAGCGTATGTTACTATGACAATCAACCAATTCGAGAAAAAACAGTAGACAATGAATAAATGCATGGCCACAGTCAAACTGTTGTTCAATTGAAATAGAAAAAAATCAAAGAAAACAGAGAGCTTTAAGACAAGAAGAGAAACACGAGCGATGTAGTCGAACAACAGGCATTACGGCAGCCATGTTTGTTTCACCTCGATCAATACAGTATTACCCACGATGCACTATTCCCATAAACGTCAAGAACAAGATAAGAAATTACGAGACCAACCAAGAGAACAAACCTTAGAGAAGTCTACCCAAGGTACATATACAACAAGTATCAAAGCATTCAGACTTGTAGATTCTAAGAAGAAGTCGAAAAAGTAAAACATCGACACGGACGACGAACGCCGGTGGACAATCACTCATATGATAAGCTCCGCTCGACAAAGTCAACAGCGAAGCTAAAAGTCACAAATGTCTGGCATGGTGAAGCGGTATAAATTATTGAGCATTAATTGTAAACAAATAAGTAATTAGAAATAATTCTTTATTTGAAACGAGATAAAACGAACCATATGTTGACCTATCGTTAACAGCGAAATACATGTAATATGGGCATATCAATGGATGGTCATCAATAACATCAAATACATTGGCATTCATGGTCATAACCATTAAGAAAATTTGACCTATTTTAAGGTCACATCAATTTACGTGTTTTTCTCTATATTCGAGCACGATTTCAGTCCTTGTTATCCAGAACACCTTGTCAGAATCATTTTTCAATGCATTTTATTGGTCCACAAAATTACACATCCTTTGTAGATTTAATCGAGATTAAAATAACAAGAACAAATTTGAGTTTCTATATTTTGTTATTTTATGGTTTTCGCTTCGATTGTTAGTCTAGAAAATAAATATATACATGAAGTTAAGAATGACAAACTTTGCTACAAAGAATATCACATTTGACTAAATTCTAAATGTAACAATGTAGTAAAAACATTAAAAACATGATTTTATCCAAAATTGCCTTGTTGAAATCAGACAGCACTTGACGTTTTATTGTTCGCTTCATTAGCATATGACCTGAATTCAAGAAACGTTAAAGCTCGTAAACATCTCGCAATAAATTTCTGCAATTCTACGTCAATCGTGAAAAACCTGTAATTGGTATTTTCTTTCATCTCGACTCAGTTATTGCGATTGAATTATGTTCAACTGGTGGTTCTTTGTAGGTGTAAAAAAAAAGAAAAATGAAAAGAAAGGAAATAAACATGAAAGTGAAGAATGAACCACACGGGTAGGTCAAAATGTTGACATGTAAATTAATAAGGAAAATTTAAATTTCCTGCTACTTAATTTTCTATATTAGTAAACTGCCTAGATAGATATGTATTTTCAAGACCATAAAAATATGATTAGTTTTGACCACGTACCCATGTATTTACATTGGAGCATGTATGCCTGATAGAGAAAATACATTACAGGACAAATTTGGCGTTTCTGGTAAATGCATTAAAAATAAATAAATATACAAGAGAAGAGAATAACAAATCAGACAAGCATTGATATTGCAAAGTCCCCGTTAAGTATTAGCTGTAGTTGATGTAAATGTTCAGTACAAGTGACATGTAGAAATGAAAGATCAATGTTTTTTAACAATAACACAGATTATAGATTGTGTTACTGTCAGTATAGACAAAGTGGAAACTTTGAACTGAATTTGACAGAGAAAATAGCATGAAAGAAAACACAGCGAGTTGGGTGTTTTGTTTAAGTATCTTCAAAAGGAATATGGCTTGCACTGTAACCTAATATGCAAGGTCATCATACAAAGTTTGATTGAAAATGGTCTATTCAACTTTGAACTGAATCAGGCCATATCCCGCTGTTCAGCTCTAAGAAACAGTTCCGGACATGTTACAGAATGATATTTTACATTTTTTTGACAAAAAAACATTTCGACAGCCACCATTTTGACAAATTTTATCAAATCTCAAGACAAAACATGTTGTTATGTTACCTTGAAGTGTACACACTTTCAAGTGAATCAGGCCATATCTTTCAGAGGAATCGACACAAAGAAGGAAACAAACAAAATGGCCGCCAGTCGACCATCTAAGACCGAATCTCGAAAACAAAGTGACATGCATATATAACCCAATTCGCATGATCGCCATACACCGTTTGATTGAAATCGCTCTGTTCAGCTCCAATAAACAGTTCCAGACACGTTTAAATATCAGAATTTAGCAAAATTGAGGGGGCAAAATGGCTGCCAGTCAGCCATATTTAATCAAATCGTTGAAAATAGGCGTGCATATGTAAGGTCATCATACATTGTTTGTATACCAAGTTTGAGAAATGTCCGATAACGGCTCCGGACGGACGCACGGACGGAACCCAAATTAATAGTCCCCGTTTTCGGACTTCGTCCGAGCCGGAACTAAGTATTTGTATTGTAAAACATATTCACGCATTAAATCAACTTTGATTACTTAAAACACATGGGTCGGTCCAGAATACCTGAAATACCAGGTACTATTTTATTTTGGTCTTAAACTCTAGTCAATGCAAAACCATTCATAAGATTGTACCTGATTAGATACTCAATTCAAACACCAATCAGAAAACAGCTTGTTTCATGGTTTTTTTGACGAATCAAATTTGATTTTATACAAATGCATTCACTAAATGGCCTATAATGCCAAGGCTAATAAATATATTAAGTATTGGACTCGGTTTCAATTTGCCCGAAAAATCCATTTTAGTCATTATTCATTTTTGGCTCATTCACAGGGCTCATATATTATATGAGAAAGTAAGACCAGGTTTCTTTGGTGGAGAATCATATTTGGGACATATGAGAATAGATAACTGCAACTCACACTTGAATAAATAAATAAAATTGGCCCCTAAACGTGGTAAATTGCTGCTAAGTTCAGTGTTGATCAGTATAGTATTCTTCAAAAATACTTTTTCAGAGAAGAAAACATTTATTCTGTCATATGAAGGCCATCAACATTAATATCAGTTTTGTAAATGTTCAATGAAGATTATATGAAAAGCAAAACTGTTCAACCTTGACCACCATGCTTATATGAATATCTCATCCAGACATCAGCTCTATCTCCCCTGATCAAAATGGTTTAGCCCCAAAACTTCAGTTCAACAAACTATCTAACTCGATTTAAAAAACATCAGAAGTTACAGGAACGAACAGGACTTGAGCGCGCGTCATGGTCAGCTGTCTCGCAACCAATAATGGCAACGTGGACAGCCACATCTAATAAATGAACGTGACGATTATTTCCTGCAAGTTTACATTTGCCGTATACTTGAGTCGTTGTTATCAGAGGATGCGTCATCATGAAACTGCATAAATTCACACCTTGCAACAATGTTAGGCAAACCAGTTAAGATTGGTTAAAATTGAAACAATTAATTGTCAGTGCAAGAGATGTGCATTATGGGAAATGAAGTCAACTAACCTAATGGGTTAATAAAATATGCCAGGGGTTTCAAAGTAGACTTAAAAGAGAAGTTGAAAAAAACGATGATAAGTCGAGCTATAGGGCAAGGCATCATAAGGAAGCCATTAACATAATGCCTTGCGTGTAAAATATCAGACATGTTAAAAATATCTTGTTTATAATTCATACACAGTGCACAAACTCTTATAATATGATCATTGCTAGGTGTCAATCAAACTTAATATCTGACTATAACGAACGAACTGCTAACCATCGTGCTGCCGTAACAACAGCACCGACCAGTGTTTCAGAGAAATTGTGACGAGTGTATTCCTGGAACTTTGGCTCATCGCTGACCAACGTAGAAGATTTGCTGGAGGTTTGTACAAACTAACTGTAACTACAATCGTGTGCTGTCCGCTCCATGTAGTTTGAAATCAACGATAACTGTAAACAATCGCAACCGACGGAGCGTGGATTATTTATATTGAATCGTATGATTTCCCCCCTGTGTTACACTATCACATTGGATGAGTTTAGCATGAGTATGGATTTATAACATTGCATCAGGAATTGTATTGAAGTTTAGTTGTTTGGCAATTTTTTAATTCCACTAAACTGGCATTTCCCCGCACCGTTATAATTGAGTGTTTGTGTTCGATCGACCTAGTATACTGATAAATAGTCATCCTTTCAGTGATATATTTTACTCAGATTTATTCAGTATTTTGCTTTTATACGATTTACATGAATACTGTTGTATTGTGTTGTATTTTCATGCAGTAGATCATTTAATCATGTAGAGGTCAGTGACACTGGGTGACCTTGGACACGGTAACTAAGCAAATTAGGTGAAGTCAGTTTCACCGTGCGTCCACGTTATTACGAGTTGTTAGTAACGGAACTAGTCCTGAACTATTTCATTTTATGTATAACGTTGTTCATATATTGTTCAGTGGATGTATACTTCGTTTGACTGTTGTTATAGTGACGATAGCATTGAATATTATTGCGTTGTGTGATTTGCTATGCGCTCATTGATGACAGTGTCAAATAACGAATAAACGACACGTCCTGACTTCTCGGGGCTTTTGGTCAATGTATTTGATATGTCTCTGCATGTTATATTTTTATAATTATTATCATTAGGATTACATCGCCCTCTATGGTCGCAACTGTTCTCAAGTTCAGACAACAGGATTATACTGAATCAAGGAAGTACAACGTTAAAGCTTATTGTTTATTTAAATCTGTTGTGTTTGCACAGTCTGGATCGTAACACAGGCATGTCATTTTGATGACTTGTTATATATTAAACAATACTTGCTACTTATCAGTTAGTGATTATGCAGGAATGGCTAAAACTTGTACTTTGCTATTAGTCAGCAAACTAAATCAAACATTACCGAGAAACCATCAGGATTCAGAGATGAGGCAGGAAACATTTTCAACTTCCCTTCAGTCTGTCCATTTATTACCGAAGTGATACCATGATACCAAGTACGTGAAAGTGAACTTGCCAGCTGCTGAACATTTTGAGGTCTTTGAGGTCTTCCAGGTCTTTCTTTATATAACACTCTAAAAAGGGATTTCAGTGTAGAATAGAAACACGAACACACTAACGTAACATGCTCGTAATGAAAATCCCACATCAGTATTTTATCAGCATGCACGATAATCAATACACTGAGATGCTAACAATACTGACAACGTTACTACATCTGAATCACAATTGCTGCACTCAATATGTAACAAGGGCATGATTTAAACAAATATGGGTGACAAATTGTGAGCAAGGAAGCTGACTACATTGCACGTCCCAAACCCACTCACATGTCACCCCCCCCCCAACCGCCACGCAAAATTATTGTTTGTAATCAAGAAAGATAATGAATTACAGGCTACAAGTGACAACTACAATCATGCTGCATCTGACAGCAAATGTCTGTTTTACGGACAAAACTGGCATTATATACAATACATTTACAACTGTCAATTCAATTTCCACACCCTACTATTACATTTAACTTTTTTATGTAAACTGAAACTGACAGGGTCAAAGGTAACACAATGATATTGTATAGGCACTTTGTATTAAAACCTCCTACACACGCACTCAACATACAGTTGCACTGTACAGCGTTGTTGTCAGACGCTGACCCTGAATGGCCTTCAACACCTTCGCAGAACACAGCTTTCAGGACAAGCGAAAAATAGATTAGGTGTAATTTGACTGCAGTTGCAAAAACATTTTTTTTTTCAAATATTGTTCTCAAATATTTATTAAATATCAGTCTCAATCACTTTTGTATGATTTGGAAAGTTGTGTGTGGGGGAGGGGGGTATTCACAATGTTATTTCACAGTTTTACAAGCAGACAATTAGCATCTTTAACAAAATACATAACAGAATTATTTTTTAAATTACATTTTTAAATCAAAAAAGCATTACACAGTAGCACCGACAAAAATCATTTATGATTTGTCTGGCGGCACATATCTATCAAGATTTTTTGCATAATAAAACGTTTTTTTGCAGAACAACTCAGTGATATTATGTTGTTTTATTCATGATCTTTTACCTGTTAAGGCAGGGAATGGGAAATATCACACGGATTGTCGCGTGATCATCGCTAAGTATCAGTTATACTTTCATAAAAAGTACAAATATTATAATAGCACTTACCCAAAACTGTTATTTTAGCTTCTTCTTCCAGAATGATTGTTTCAGAGTAGGAACATTTCCATATCGCCATATCATCAAAGTTAGCATTTCTTATCTTTAACATAAAGTCATAGTTTTGCGTATTACCGACAATCTCGCAACAATCATCAAAATCAGGATCAGCGTAAACCTTGCCTGCTTTGTTACCCAGGTACAATGATAATTGCCCTCTGTTCCATGCGACTGTAGCGGTGCTTTCAAAATCATTAAAACTACAATTCAACAATACCTCATTTCCTTCCAAAACCACAGTATCTACGGGAACACCACGAAATGACTGCGACAATACTGTAAAAAACACAGAATACATTCAGTTAAAAGATGTAATGTTCAACAATGTACAAGAAATCTTATTATGAATGCATGAAATATCCTAATTCATAGCTGTGTCCGAGACGACTGCACTAGTCTCCATTTTCTACGAAAGTTTGTCAGTTATCAGAAGAAACGAAGTGCAACCACTACATACTATGACAGAACCCCACACCCTCCCCATGGCTTTCGTTGCATATGGAAGTTATTTTCACGAGTGATTTGGTGTATCCTGCGGCCGTATTTTCACGGTTGAATGTTTCCAGATGGTCAACAAACATTAAGTTCTCCCGATCTTAGTATTCCATGCGATGTACACCTAATCTGCCAAAAATGTTGCTGAACAATTTGAACCGGATAGAAATAGCAGACGAAAAGTTTGATTGTCAATGGATATACCATGTGTGATGTGCAAAATAGTTTTAGTCAAAATAAGTGACTTCCTAAAAGTACCTTTACTGTTGTTCAAATTTCATTTCACTCGGCAAGTATATTCATGTACCCCAAGCGACAAATATCATACTTCTAATTATTGTTTATTTCTGCTACGTTTTGAAAAACGGTACTCCTAAATGAACTACTTTGTTTGCTCTCATACCTCGTTTGCATATTGAGTCTTAAAATACCGATTTAAGATTTCAGGAACGAATCAAAATAAACTGCAGTACAATGTAATAATTCGTGACATTGCATTGTAGAAAGCGGCATCACACAGACAAGTACCGTATTTTT